GACAGAGCAGCGGTGGCTGAGGAGGGTTGCCCACATCCCTGGTGATCCCCCTCTGCATCCCCACCCAGCTGTGCCCAGCTGTGCCTGTCCGCTCCAGCAGGTCAGCTCCAGGGCTACAGCAGGAGCTGGTCACGAGATGGAGCAGGACTGGGACGGGGATAGGGACCAACAGCAGAACCACAGCATGGCAGGGAGAGCCCCGCCATGGCACAATGAGAAGGGACCCAAGGACAGGACCAGTGGGCAGTGTCCGGGGTAAAAGGCATATGGAGGGGTCTCTGTGCTGACTCTCTCTCTGGAGCATGAGAATACCCAGTAAGGCAAGAGCCTTTGTGGGAATGTTAGCAGCAGCTGCATCTTTGGGGGATTCACAGAAAGGTTTCATGGATGTGGGCTCATCAGAAGGACCTCAGGCAGACTGGGCAGTACCGCAGCCAGTGGGGTGTACTGGGAAGAGGCATTGATGGAGCACGGGGGCAAGGGGAGCATAAACCACCTATGGAGCTGGTCAAGTCTGTTTGGGCAGGGACCCCAGAGCAGGGCTGGGGGAACATAGGGCACCCCATGCTGAGGGTTCAGGTGCCAAAGTGGGACTGGGACAGCAAACACACAGACCCCTCCCTCTCAAAACCCAACCTACCAGATGAGGACAATGATGACGAGAACAGCAGCCAGGACAAAGAAGGCAAAGATCCCCAGGGATACTAGGACAGCCACCTTCTCCAGGGGGTCACTGTGGTCTGGGACAGAGAGACTGTCATGGCCGAGGGATACCAAAGCTCCCGGGGGACCCTACTGCAAGCTCCTGGGCACCCCAGACACACACAGCATGGGGCAAGAGACTCTTCCCATTACTCTCAGCCACACGTTTGCCCAGGCAGGCAGCTGCCTGTGGGCAGTCCCCACTCCTGCCCATCGCCCCCGGCTTTACTCACTGATGGGCTCAGGGTTGGGAGCCTGGGAGGGCTCCTCAGCCAGGCTCTCCAGGCTGGCGTCTGTAGTGGTTTCTCCACTTGCTGCGGTGACTGGGTCTGGAAGGATAGAGGGGATGGGAAACACTCACCCAAACGCATGGGCAGCACCCCAGGGACCCACAGAGAGAAGCAAGGAAGGGTGCTCCTGTGCCCCAGTGGTCCTGTGAGACTGAGGGTGCTCCCGGGGTGCTACTGGTGCTATGGGAGCCCCACTCTGCCCTGAGAATGTGGGGGTAATCCCCAAATGGCAGCAGCACAGCTGCAGCCTGCCATGGGGCTGGGAGATGCTTTGGCCCCTTGCAGCTCTGCCTCTCACTGCAGAGTCAGTTTTTGGATGGTGCATGGGACTGGCTTTTTGGGTCAACTTTAAAGGACCTCAGGAGCTGGGGCTTGCTCTGGGTGATATTTGGGAGAATGGGTGCCATGGGAAAGGGGCATGGAGAGGGGCAGCTCAGGGGTCTGGAAAGTCTTTGAGAAGGGATGGCACAACCTGGGAGGGACGCTGGGGGCTTCAGCCTGTCCCCCTCGCACCTCTGACTGGCGTCGCTCGAGCCTCGGCACTCCACTCGCTCCAGTTCCCCGCATCCAGGAAATCCTTGGCACTGACTTGGACCACGTGCTCCAGCCCAGCAAAGGCGTCTGTGATCACCTCGGAGAGGTTCACTGTCTCCACCTGCACCGGGCAGAGGGCAGCTGTGGGGTAGGAGGGTGCACCCCTTGTTGCCCTCCCTGGCCCCGTGCCCACCCTGCTCCCATGCTGGCTTTGCCTCCCTTCTCCCACCGCTTACCACGGACCAGGAGCGGTGGATGACGGGCCGGTACTGGAGCCGAAACCTGAGCTGGAAGTGTGGCTCCTTGGGCCAGGAGGAAGGGTACTTCCAGCTCACGTGGAGCCGCCGTGGGGCCAAGGGGATAGGCTCCACCACCAAGCCCTCTGGAGGGTCCGGCTTAACTGCGAGGGAGAGGACAGGGAGCCCTCATCACACCGGATGGCCATGCAGAGAGGTGCTGGGCTCCCCATCGGCACCCAGGGCTGGATGCCCAGGGGATGAACAGACACGGGGATGGACAGACAGATGGATGGGGACTCACTGATGGCCTGCATGGTGACGTCAAGGAGGCGGAAGCTGGATCCCAGCGGGTTCACTTCGGTGATGTTCAGGCGGTAGGAGCTCCAGAACTCCGACCCATGGACGGTGCAGGTGCCAGGCCGGGACAGATCCTGCAGGCACGGCCCCATGTGTCCGTTCTTGTTCCTGCAGACAGAAGAGTGAGGCAGTGACATGTCCCCCCCACCCATCACACATAGTTTCCCAGTGCCACAGAGGTGTCATGCAGGGACACCTCCACCACACCAAGAGGTCAGTGGAGGTGGCAGCCCCCATTACGGACCAGGCAGCTGCCTTCATCCCTCCAGATTCTGGCATATCCCTCTGAAAGTGGCCAAAGGGACCCCCATCTCAGCCCCACAGTCCCTCCTGGGAAGGTCACTCCTTGGGGGAAACCCTTCTCCCAAGGCCCCAGGCTTGAGGAGCTGATTCTTCCATGGGGTGACACCCAGCCCTTGCCTCGGAGATCCCGCTGAGGACAGCAGCAGAGTCTTTGGGATGGAGGCCAGTCCCCAGGGAGTGGGACCAGGGTGGGAGTCAGTCGTACCTGCGCTTCTCTTCGCCCGTCAGCGATTTCTTCCTGCCATGGAGACAGATGGAAAAGCAGACAGTGAGGATGAGGGGACAGCATGATGCCAATCCCACCATGACCCAGAGGAGGGACAGGGGTGTCTGCACCCCAGGCAGCCTTCCACTCCCACACTGACACACACAGGCACAGGGGATGGAGCTAACACCACACCCAGCCCCACCAGCGAGCAGCCTGGTAGCAGAAGCTGGGGGTCCCAGGGGAACGAGACAGCGGGGTGCTCGGGAGAGTCCCCCTGAGAAGATCTCCCTTGCCCTCCCAGGGTTCATCATGTAGCTGCAGCAAAGGCACAGGGACGCTGACCAAAGCTCTTTGGCAGCTGGCTTAGCCCTCGCCCTACAGCCCCCTAAAG